CGAGGTGCCAGGTCGCGCCGTCTTCGGAGCACCGGATCCGGAAGAATGCCAAGGCCGATATTTTTCGACTGAAGGTAAAGCCCTACAGATAAACCCAAGCATGAGGAAGCAGCCACTGCACCCACCCTTTTCGGAGACAGAGACCGAAACGCCCTTGATTGGACGCAATGTCTTGCAGCTGCCCCATGGTATAGGCCTCACGCAGCTCAGGCCCCAGGATCAACACCACCAACCATCCCACGAAAACGAAATTCTTGCTGGGCCTGTCCATTTCGTAACGATCCCAGAGTGTGCCCAGCACATCTTTGGTGTGCTCACTAAGTGCTCGGATGTTGATGATGGATGTCGGCGCTTTTCGACTCTGCATAGGTATCGGAACGGATCATCTTCTCAAAGACGGGAGACCAATTGGCAAGGAGGGAAGACCAGACTTTAAACTCCCGCTCTCCCATCGCCTCAACTTCAGGATCCTTGGAAGCCTCTGTCGGGGGCTCTTTGACGATGACTTTGAAGTTGCCGTCCTGGCCGAAGCAGGCATTCCACACATCAGATGTCGCACACAAGTCTTTGCCAGTGAATAGCCCGGCTGGCTGCCTTTTTCGCTTGGATCCGTTCGACATCTTCAAGAAGGGGAACCTGCTGTTCTATACAAAGTCGAAGCTCAATCATAAAGAGGCAATCCCAAACTTTAAGCCCTAAGCCCTCATAATTTCAGTATGGTGTGTGGAAGGTAGGTTTTTCATACGAAGCGACTCTAAGGGGATAATGGTGCTCATTACTCAGACATCTATATTGATGCATTGAGTTTTGTCTTGTGACTACCGCGAGCCGTAGCACCTCATCTTCTGAAACTCCTTATAGAGCGTATGAAGCACTCGTTATCACATATCATTCAAGCCCCGTATGCTTTTAAGTCGCTGTGGCCGTTGCGGCCCGAGATCCATCTGCTGCGGCACGGATTTGGAGGTGCAAAGTGTACAGGGTGGATGGCTTAAGGTTGGGGAGCTGAAGGCTGTAATAGGCCGAAAGAATTAGAATAGGGTTTTGGGGCCCATTATACTATAGTTACAATGAGGAAC